TAATAATCACCACTCAACACTAAAGAATGCCTCAACTTTTAATCCCCCACCCCAGTCCAGATCCTATGTGAATATCTTCAAAGAACTAGTACTAAAAGATCTGGAGGGACTAAATATTAGAAAGGCCCCTGACATGGACACCAAGAAAGCAGTTGACCTTCTCCTGAAAAGAAAAGACCTGGTCATCAGACCAGCGGATAAGGGAGGAGGGGTGGTCATACTCAACAAACGTGACTACTTAGAGGAATCTTATAAGATTTTGAATGATACTACTACTTATACCCGCCTTCCTGGGAATCCTTTATCAACTCTTAAAAAAGGTTTGAAAAATATCATTAAAAAGGGATTTGATAGTGGTATACTAAATAAAAAAGAAAAAGATTTCCTGTGTCCATCAGCCCCCAGACTTCCAGTGTTTTATATACTCCCAAAGGTGCATAAAAATCTGACGAAACCACCAGGACGGCCTATTATAAGTGGAATAGGCTCACTATTCTCCAAAGTAGGAGAGTACATAGATTATTTCCTACAACCACTGGTCACACAAACCCCGTCGTTTCTAAAGGATACTAAGCACATTTTGAATGACATTAAAGACATTAAAATTTCATCTCAAACCTTTTTAGTCACAGCGGATGTCACATCCTTATACAGCAATATTGCACATGAAGATGGGATGGACGCCGCCAAATATTTTCTAGACGCCTATAGCACTTTATCTCCTTCACATATTGAATATATTTTAACATTACTGCAGTTCGCAATGCAGAATAATTATTTCTGGTTTGATCGCAAATATTTTCTGCAAACCAAAGGCGTGGCGATGGGGGCGAAGTTTGCCCCCAGCCTAGCAAATCTTTTTATGGCGTATTGGGAGGAGTTTTTAATTTATGCAAGAGAGTGGCCAGAGTTAATATTTTATAAAAGATTTATAGATGACGTGTTCTTATTGTGGAATGGGGAGGAGGAATCTTTGCACAATTTTTTTAAAACACTTAATGATAACGCACTTAACATTGAGTTTAGTTATACATATAGCAATACAGACATTCATTTCTTGGATTTGACATTATTTAATGATAATGGTATGGTCATTACTGAATCCTTCTTCAAAAAAACCGACAGGAATAGTTTCATCCCGCTAGAAAGTTGTCACCACCCTGCATGGCTTGCAAACATTCCGAAAGGTCAATTTACAAGAATACGCAGGAATTGTACTAAATTGGATACATACTACATACAAGCAGACACTTTAAAGATGAAATTCCTGGAAAAAGGATATCCTCAGCAAAAAATCGATGACACCATTCAACAAGTGGCTAATATGGACAGAAGTGCATTACTGGAGGATAAAAAGAATGACCAGTACGGCACTGTCTTGCCCTTTTTTGACCACATATTCTATACAGCATAGGGCCATTAAGCACATCATCAGTAAAAATTGGAATGTCTTATTGGCGGATCCCATCCTTTCCAAAATTCTTCCGGCTAAACCGGAAGTTATATATAAAAAAGCTACAGCATTAAGACACCGATTAGCACCTAATGTCATCAACCCCCCAGAGAAGATCACGTTTGCACCGAACATAACAGGTTTTTTTCCTTGTAACAAGTGCGTTATTTGTACGACGAATAACGTAAGGAAACAGAAACAATTTACTTTTTCTTCAAACACCACAGGAAGAACGTATAAATTAGATAAATGCATAACCTGCTATAGTAAAAATGTGGTATATCTTCTTGAATGTTCTTGTAAACTCCAGTATGTGGGACGTACTACCAGACGCCTACGTGATAGACTGAGAGAACATATCAACAACATTAAAAAGGGGTATAAAGATCACTCATTGTCTTATCATTTTAAATGTAAGCACAAAAATGACCCATCATCTTTACATTTTGTTGGGATAGATATAGTACAACCCCATTGGAGGGGAGTAAATAAATTGCGTGGGGTCTCGCAACTCGAAACACGCTGGATATATGAGCTGCAGACTTTACACCCTAAAGGCCACAATATAGACATAGATCTAAATTGTTTTATCAAAAATAGCTAAAACTCTATGGATCCTCTCTTTTTATTGTATTTTATGGATGTTTTATCGTCATATTGAGAGAATAGGATATGATGATATTATTTTATCGTAAATTTTGCTTATTGTTCCCTGGTTCAGTTTTAGTTTTATATTCCTAGTGTCACTGATTGGCACTGGTTAACAATTAAAAGGATACAGTCATTTGCATTATTTTATGTACAATTTTATGTATATTTTTAGTATGGACCTATGTATACCCACTATTTTGTTGCCTACTAGTAGATTCTCTGTTTTTATGAATATTATATGTACATGGACTTTTATGAAGTGGTTTATATGCTAGCGCTATACATACTGCATTGATTCATTTTGCCCTTTAATGTGGTCAATTGGAAGGTACATACCTAATATATATGAAATTGGGAGTTGGATTAAAAAACACCGAAGTGAGACCATTAAGGGGTTGTAGTACTGTTATTAATAATAATGACAGCTGGCCGGCTTTACATGCTGCTATAGTAACGGTATGTATAAGCAATGGAACTAATGAAAATGGCGCCCATATCGGGATCCGGGTGTCTTCAGGTCGCACTTCTAGAATATGGCGCCTTCTCTACTGCGCATGCGCATAGCATATAAATGTACGACGCACGGCTCGGCGTTCATTGGCAAATCCCCCCAGACGACGTGCGTGTGCACGAAACGCGTAGGAGGAGCCAGGAACGCGCCGTGACGTCACGCCGCCGGAGCATCGTGGAGCTCCGGCGGCCATCTTTTCCACTGGACGGTCAGTCCGTTTTTTTTGTATACACCGCTGTGTACCTTGGATGCTTTATGTAATAAAACCTCTGTTATCACCTACTACACTATGGAGGCGTCCTTGTTTTGACTCCCTTGGGGAGTATTCATTTGCAGCCATCGCTGGGTAAGGAACGTATGTGGTCCCCAAGGAGAAGTCCACAGGCCACCTACCGAGGGATCACACAGTAACTTACAGGAGCTCTTGAGGGAGGCTAGCACACTATCTTATCCTGACCGGCTGATGTCTCCAAGGGGAATATATAATTACTAAACGCTCATTTTCCTGGGCGTTCTGGTGAGTGTGCATTCTCTCAGCACTATTTTGCACAACGCCTGAGCACCAGAAGTATAGGACAGAGAAGAAATCACCAAAAGTCACCCCTTTTTATGAACTGTTATGTTTATGTTTATTTATGCATATGAATCACCTATCTGTCTTCATTGGAATATCTTGGGTCTGTAGCGCTACATTTTTGATTTATGATGAATTACTATAGGGGGGATGAATTACTATATGGGGGATGAATTACTATGGGGGATGAATTACTATAGGGGGGATGAATTACTATAGGGGGGATGAATTACTATGGGGGATGAATTACTATATGGGGGATGAATTACTATATGGGGGATGAATTACTATATGGGGGATTAATTACTATATGGGGGATGAATTACTATGGGGGATGAATTACTATGGGGGATGAATTACTATATGGGGGATGAATTACTATGGGGGATGAATTACTATATGGGGGATGAATTACTATATGGGGGATGAATTACTATGGGGGATGAATTACTATATGGGGGATGAATTACTATGGGGGATGAATTACTATGGGGGATGAATTACTATATGGGGGATTAATTACTATATGGGGGATGAAATTACTATGGGGGATGAATTACTATATGGGGGATGAATTACTATAAAAACTTATTGAAACTAAAAACAGTGTACCATCCTATGTATTTTCAGTTTTAAAAATGTGGCTCTCAAAATAAATTTCAATCGTGGTTTTGGCAAGATTTGGCTCAGTTGAAAAAAAAAAGGTTGCCCACCACTGGCCTAGTGGAAGCACTGGTTATGCAGAAAGCTGGTGTTGTAAAGGACAGCAAACAGTCTATTGGGGCACATCAGATCCAGCAGCAGGGATAATTGTAGAAACAGGAGTTCTTGTGGTTCCACAAGCAAGTTCAATATACAGAAAACACCAATGCATGCACAACTGTTTTCAACTGTAGTAAGACCAGAGATATGAAAGTAATATAGCAAAATGTAATCTGATCCTTGATTGCTTCATAAACAGCATTATTTGCTAGTAGATCTCAATAACTGTAATGCAGCCATGTGGTATTGTAGAGAGCAGATAGAGATTGCGCTTTCCATGGCCCAGGTGAAACTTCACCGCAGATAAGGCAGAGCATATAAAAGGCTTTCGAAATCTTCTTGCTTGCGGTTCCATTTCAGATGTCATATATGCAATGACATACTTCCTAGACCCAGTCTGTGCAGACAGTATGATCGCTTGCTGACTTGGCTATATCCAGAGGTAGCTTATTGTAGAGCTATAGGCAGTTTTTCTTTTTGGATAGGGTAAGGGAGGGTTATAACCCTGCCAGATTTTTTTTTCGCTATCTGTGTCCCATTGCAGAGATTTCCCTTCACTTCCTGTCCCAAAGCCAAACACGAAGTGGGAGGAAATCCCTGCAAATGAAGGGAATTCCTTGAGGACCTCCAGGTCACCATAACTAGTGTCCCCATTGGAAGATTTCCCCTCTATTACTTTTCTGGGGACAACCCAAAATTTGGGATTTTCTTTTACTTTCACTTTCAGCGATAATGGTAAACAGGACAAATGGAGAGGATAAATCTCCATAACAGGGCACAGACAGCAACAAAAACTGACAAACATTCTAATCCCTCTGCACTCTGTCCAAAACCAAAAAAAAGTTTTGCCTGTAGTTATGCCTTAACTCTTCAAATAAAACACACATTTTGAGTCCAACACAATTTTACATCTGATAGCAGCAGTAGAGATTACATTTTTCCTGTCTTTCAAGATGTAAGAGGACAATGGCTTTCCTAAGCTCTGCTTTGCGTGGAAAGTGAAATTAAAACTTGATCAGCAGACTGAGGCAGTGAGTGTCTAGCTTAACCTTTCTCAACATTTTTATTCCAAAGCGGGGGCGGACTGACCATTTGGAAACTCGGGCACTGCGCGAGGGCCCGGGGTCAGTAGGGGGCCCCATGAGATGCCCCTGGTACATTTTTCATAGGCTTTTTTGAGTTTGGGCAAGGACACAGGGGCCCCATGATCCCCTATTGCCCGGGGGCCCCATGAGTTGTCAGTCCACCCCTGTTCCAAAGGAACACTTCAGTTCTCAGGGAACCCCTGCTAAAATGAATTAATCAGGGGTCCTTGAGCAGAATGCCCCTTAAATTGGTAGTCAGTGGGAAGAATGTCCCTCTGACAGTGGTGAGTTGGATGCCTCCATTAGAGACAGCTAGAAAGATTATTATTGGTGTCATGCTGCTGGCCCTGCTGTCTGGTACTGGACCCAGAACCATTCAGAGACCATCAGACGGGAGACCAATCAGCCACAGCTCAAGAAACCCCTCTCAACCTCTGGAATTCTATGGTTCCACAGAACCTGGCTGGTCTAGCTGAAGACTGTACCAACTAGCACCAAAACAGGAGGTGGAACAGAAGAGCATACTAAATATATTAAACAAAATAAAAGATAGCCTGCTGTAGAGTCAATTTTGCAAGAGCCTGTATGGGCCCCAAGGAACCTTGTCAGCACAGAAATATGAAAACCATCATTGCTAACAAGTTTTAGGTTAGTCATTTGGATATCATTTAAATCAGTGTTAAACTCAAAACCAAAAATCTAATATATTGCAGAGTTTACAGTTACAAAGGAGATTTAGTACTAGAATTATTGCTGTCTATTGCTCTTGCTCTATGACATTCGCGGTGATACCTCACATGTGTGGTTTGAACACAATTTACATATGTGGGCATGACTTACAGTATGTATACGTTCACCACTGCGCGTGAGCACGGGGGTATAGGCACACTTTAAATTTTTTTTTTTTTTCTATTTTATTAAATTTTTTTTATTTTTACACAGTCCCTTTAAAAAAAAAATGTATCACTTTTATCCCTATCACAAGGAATGTAAACATCACATGTGATAGAAATAAGCAATGACGGGTCCTCTTATGGAGAGATCTGGGGTCAAAAAGACCCCCACATCTATCCTCTACAGTGTAAAGCATTAGATAAAAAAGCATTGACCTAATACTTTAAAAACAAAAAATGGTCTCGTTTACATTAGGCCAGAACTGGAAGTGATGTAATGAAATTGCTCTGGTTCTCCTAGGGCATAGAGATGAGTGGAGGCCATCTTTCCTTCACTCATCTCTATGCCCAGCCTCCGCGATCCTCAGATCGGTTCTGGGGCTCACTGATCTTCCAAGTAAGCTCGAGAACCACTGGAAAGCGGCAGGGGGGGCGTCCCCTCCCATCGCTTCTAAAAGTGATCTAGTGGAGAACCCGTCGCTCAGACCACTTTTAGTAAAAAGGGAATCGCTGGCTTTATGGCACATTGTTGCAATCATAGCCCCGATATTCTACTTCTAACCGAGGATGTCTTTTGTCTGTTTGTCTATGGCCCAGTTGGGAAGTGCAATTGCACATACTGTAGTTGTGGGGAATTTGTGGCACTTCCCCAATCGATTGAATAGGTCATGTTCAATGGGCTCTCCATCTGCCGATCACAATATGTTGGGTAGTTTTTCTAAAGCCCCCCAGCTGCACATATAAATTTAGCTAAACAGCCTCTGTTGTAATATTTGAGAATTAATTAGTTGACGTTGCAAACATCTACAGAGGTGACTGGAGGCTTTCTTTAACCCTTGATATGAATATTATCTATCTATCTATCTATCTATCTATTTATCTATCTATCCATTATCTATCTATCTATCTATCTATCTATCTATCTGTTTTACTAGCGATATGGTGTTACTAGTAGGGATACTGAACATGCAGCTTACTCATAGGGATCTGTTGCGACTTCCCTTCTCTCTCTCATACAGTGAGTTCCCCCTCAGTTTGTAATTTCTGATTGAGCTGGTCATTCGCACTGTGGCTGGAGGACAGGCAGAACCTAATAGGGCTCTGATTTTCTGCTGTGAAAATCAAATTATTTTTCCACCTAGAGAACTGTTTGGGTGCCAATCTCATTATGCACCTGGCACCTTGACTTGTGTGCCATGTTCCGCCTGCAGCTTTCACAGCTGTCCAGACTTCTCTGAACCAGATGCAGGCATAATCAATGGGAAAGCAGCTTGTAGCTCTTCTCCATGCTGCTCATCATTACACATTAAAGAGAACCTGTCGTTGGCATGTTTTTAAAGAAAGAGAAAAGTAACCATCAGATTTTCTCTAGTTATGAGTGATATAACATGTAGGGACAGGTGTTCAGCAAGTACGTTAGCCTTTTTTGTACGAGGCACCATCTGTCATTCATAAAGTGGAGTTGAGCCGATGCTCTTCACATGTTTCATTAAGAAGCCTTGACAAATTTGTATGCTCCGCACACAGAATACAATAAAATGACTAAACCCAGTAGTGTTATAGCAATGGCCCTCACTGTATGTATGTTCCTGGGTGTACTGAAAGTGAACTGTGCATCTCTTAAGCTGGCCACACAAGGTTCCCCCAGCCACACATTCAGGGGGGAAGGAGGAATCCTCCCTATTGCGTTATTGTATTCTGAAAGCAGAGAGACTTCCCCCACTGTCAATATACATAGATCAGTGCGGCAGCCATTGGCTTTTATCCATAGTTGAGGTTGAATGGAAGGCAATCAACAGATCAATTTCTGTTCATCTGCAGTGGCCACACAAAGATTGAAATTCGGCCAGACCCTGCTGAACCGAACAAAATTCAATCCATATGTAGGCAAGTGCAGTCTATTTTCTCCACTACACATAGCGCTCAAGTCACAGTGGTATTGCAGAGTGAGAGGAAAGCAGGAGGAACATGTTCCTCTATGGTTTCCTGGATCACTGGAAAACAATCTGGTTGGATGTCGCTGTCTCATGTGATTCTGGTGACCATCTTGGGTCAGACAGAATCTATTTAAGACCCTGGCGCCCAGGTTTGGTGGACAGTGCAGTGACAGGGTTGCCTGGCTGTCAGGGAAAGTGAAAAGCAGTGGCAAAGGTTCGAGACGAGTAGGGATGGGATAGTGGCACACTATCCTCCCTTGGCATCCTCCCCATTGGGTTCAGACTGGCCAGGCTATATACCACCCTCTGAGACAGAAGCTGTCAGTGCATCAGATCCTGCTGCACTCTACATTATTATTATTGCACAGAACTGTGCGCTTTGCCAGCTAGGTGCCTTCCCACTGGGCTGTTTGCATCCTCGATCCATTTCTCCAATACACGTTTTGTTAATTGCAACTGGAATCAGTGTTCACTGCCGCCACACCACACTGTACCCACCCACACATACAGTGGGGCAAAAAAGTATTTAGTCAGCCACCAATTGTGCAAGTTGTCAGACCTAAAAAGATGAGAGAGGCCTGTAATTGGCATCATAGGTAGACCTCAACTATGAGAGACAAAATGAGAAAAAAAATCCAGACAATCACATTGGCTGATTTGGAAATAATGTATTTGCAAATTATGGTGGAAAATAAGTATTTGGTCAATATCAAAAGTTCATCTCAATACTTTGTTATATATCCTTTGTTGGCAATGACAGAGGTCAGTCGTTTCCTGTAAGTCTTCACAAGGTTGGCACACACTGTTGCTGGTATGTTGGCCCATTCCTCCATGCAGATCTCCAATAGAGCAGTGATGTTTTGGGGCTGTCGCTGGGCAACACAGACTTTCAACTCCTTCCAAAGGTTTTCTATGGGGTTGAGATCTGAAGAATGGCTAGGCCACTCCAGGACCTTGAAATGCTTCTTACAAAGCCACGCCTTCGTTGCCCGGGTGTTATGTTTGGGATCACTGTCATGTTGGAAGACATGGCCTGGCTATGTTCTCCTTAGGAGAAACAGGGTAAAAAGGAAAGGTGGTGGTTTCTGTCTCTTTGTGAGAATTGATCTCAAAGCCTGTGTGAAAGAGGACCTAGTTGATGAAGAGTGTGATGAGGCTGAAGCATTATGGGTTGAACTGGACATGGGGGTGCGTACTACAAAGGTAATCATTGGAGTTTGTTATAGGCCACCCATGTTAATGAGGAGGTGGAGACTCAGCTCCTAGCACAGATTGAAAGGGCTGCAATGGCTGGGACAGTGATAATAATGTGGGATTTTAACTACCTGGATATTGACTGGAGTAATGGCACTGCAGGAACAGTTAAGGGGCAAAAATTATAAGCCTACTACAGGACAATTTTATGGTACAGTTCATAGAGGCCCCAACTAGGAATGATGCTCTGCTGGACCTGGTAATCTCAAACTATGCAGAGCTTATTACTAATGTCCATATAAAAGAACATCTGGGTAGCAGTGACCATAACCTGATTTCTTTTTTTATTAGATGTAAACAACAAGCACATACAGGAAAAATAAAAACACTCAACTTAAAAAGAGTTAATTTTCCAAGGCTGAGAGTTGCTCTCCAAGACTTAGACTGGATGTGTTCTTGTTTGAAAAATTTTTTTTAAGCAACAGACAGCATGGATTCATGAAAAATCTGTATGTAAATGGTTAGAAAACTGGCTAAAAGACCAAATTCAGAGAGTAGTGGTTAATGATCCATACTCTGAATGGTCTGGGGTCATCAGTGGTGTACCCCAGGGTTTAGTGTGTTGGGTCCCTTACTTTTTAATATATTTATAAATGATATAGGGTCTGGGATTAAAAATCCCATTTCAGTCTTTGCAGATGACACCAAGCTGTGCAGTGGAATAACGTCCTTACAGGATGTCTCCAATTTACAAGCCGACCTCAATGCACTGTTTAACCTCCTTGGCGGTATTCCCGAGTGTAGCTCGGGGTAACATTTCAGTACCACAAACGGTAACCCCGAGCTACACTCGGGAATACCATGCGGCACTGCTCCGGCATTTGTGCTTCACTTACCTTACCCTGAGCTCCCACGATGTGTCCCCTGCAGCGTCCCCGGCCATCTCCTCCGGCCGATGCCGGCATCCGGCTTCTGTGTCCTGTCACTGTGACGTTGGGACGTACGGGCGCCGCTGGCGGCGGGAAATTTAAAAATTTTAAAAAATGTATTTTTTTTTTTTTTTTACATTATACATAGTAAAACATTGCTGTCTCAACCAATTTCACATACATCTTGTCCCTAATGCTTTGT